TGCAATCACTATCACCAACATGCTCATTGGCGTCATTTGTGAGGCAGGCCAACAAGAGTTATATAGTCTGTTTCATGCTTGGTCAGGATCACGTTTAAGCACTTTGAGAGGCTTGAACCTCATACAGACGGTCACCCATGTTTAGTCTCTGAAGCTTCCCGCCCCTAGCTTCATGATTTTTTTCATCTCCCCATGTTTTGGACATTAATTGAACACGTGAATCAGGTGCTGTAGGCGTCAGAGAAGTCGTTCATTTCTTCCATCAAAACGAGAAGACTGCTTTACTCTCTTGGAGGACTGTTGTGACCGCATCAAGGACTAAAGGTGCACATCAAGTAGGTCTGTAGGGTTGCAGGCCGTTGCTATTAGGCAGGAAGCCAATGCTTCTAGGTAGGGGGGCAGAGCGGCCTTAAAACATGTCCTTTCCGTTCTTTTCTCGCCCTCTTCCTTGGATGTGTGTCCTTCACTTCGGCGGAGCCTTTGAAAGAACGAAGGGGTGTGAGAGAACACCGAGGGTGTGGATTTTCTGTCTTTTCACCGCAGGTGATCACTGCCGTAGCAGCTGCAGAAAAGGAGGCGATTCAGATCACATGGGTGAAAGAGACGCTCAAGCGAATGATGGGCGGAGACTTGGTGAAAAAGATCGTCTCCCGGAGTCCAGTAGACACGGGTCGTTCGGGGGAGCCAAAATCAAGGCAGACGAACCTCAAGCATGACTAGTAGCGTCCTTTGCTCCTAGTAGCGATGCCAGATCAAGCCAGTCCACAAGCATGTTCAAGATAGATGCGATAGCTTAGGAACGGATGCAAATGAAGATGGCAAGCTGCAGAAATATGAGTTTTTTCAAATTGCCAAAGACCGGGACGCCGTCCGAGCTTTGAAGGCGAAGCGAAGAGACGACGCGAATCGAGCAGCCGCGACGTGCCGTTTTTGAGGATAAAAAAGGCAAAACACACAATTGAAACACCCATACACGTGTTTTATCTGGTATTCATTTTTTCTTTCAAAATCGCACCAACCTATATACCTCACTCAAGACTTGAGAAAGTGCACGAAGTGCGCCGCACTAGTAGTTCTATTGGTGGAGGCAGCGTTGAACACCAAAAGACTCGAAGCACGTGTTGACGAGAATGACTCTGCTGTAAGGCCTTGGGCGTTGATGTTCTCACCTTGACGCCTGACCTGCACAAGTGAGCTGTGAGTTGTCAGAATTGTGACCCCTGTGGACAGAGTATTTTTTCTTAACGGGGACGTGTATTTGACCGCGGCAAAGCCAACCAGGATTGAATTTGCCGACATCATTTTTGAGAACATTGAGGAGAGATTCTTTTTGATTCTTTTCACGGCGAGACCATCCCTAGTAGGTTGGAGGTCATCGCTAATAGGTTGGAGGCCATCGCTTTCGAAGCTTTTGAAGCTTGTGCTGCACAAATAATGTGCCAAACATTTTTGAAAAAAAACTCATTGAAAATAGATTCTTCGAACCGATTCTTTGACACGAACCATTCTTCAAGGAAACTTCTTGCTGAAGTTTCCTCAAATTTTTATGCGTTCTTTCTGCGTTGCCAGCTTCAAGTAACACAAAGGTCCAAACCTAGAGCTAGAGTAGCTACCTAGAGCTAGTCCCAAAGCTATACCTAGCCGTTTTGCCTCGAAAAATGAATCTTGGCTTCTCTTCTTTCTTTAGGTCTTTCTTCCTTTTGCCTCTGTTTCTTTCTTTTTGCTTTCGCTTCTTTTTGGTCTCTCTGAAGCTGGTCTGGTCCTCTTTGCTTTGCTTGCAGGGCGGGGCCGATGATGGCCAGGCTGAGCTTTCGTTTTCAGACTTTATGGAGGCACGCGAAGCGCCATGTAGGGTTTTAGACGGAGGAAGCAATTGTTTTGCCTCTAAAGCAAAAAGCATGAACAAACATCAAGTCACTATGATCACTATGACTTCTTTCTTCACTTGTTTTGTTTCTGGTTTCTCTTAAGACCTTTAGACCCTTCTTTCCTTCCTTCCTTGCTTTATTGCAAGTTTGGGCGTTGTCAGTATGGAGTCTTACTCAGATTTCCAGGTGATCCTACAATTCCGTGGGACAAATACAGCAACCGTGAAAGACATGGTGGACCTACGGAAATGGTTTGTTCTCCAGAGACTTTGTCTATATCGGATTATTCTTTATGAGACTTTGTCTTGTTCTTTGATTTGTTCCTTAAATTGTTTTTGAAGACAATTGCTGTGAACTGAGTTGAGACAACCCAGGTATCGACAGATGTTGAGAAGTGACCTTGAGGAAATCTTGGTGGGAAAGGCGGTCCAATGGACAGCTCGTCCGTGTTTCTGCGGAGATAGGGCAAAGGGATGGCCTCCAACCCAAGAGCGCTGGCCTCCAACCGAAGCCCCAAATCCGGTTTCTTTCCTCTCTTGACCTTGATTTTGTATTGTGTTTCCTATGTAATCGGTGTTCAACGGCTTTCGATTGTTTCCGTTCGGCGCCTGGTCCAGTCAACCAACGCGAGCAAAGTCCTATTGCAAGTCGACAGCATCGACTGTATTAAGGGTTCCCAAACAATCTAGAAACCAATAAACTTTACTCCAATTTAATAGCGATGGCCACCAACCTAGAAGCATGGGCCTCCAACCTACTAGCGATGTCCGATGTGTATTGTGCGTGTTGTGTACAGTGATGCAAACTTGTGGAGGTTTCCAATCGGCAAGGCGCATCGTGACTTGGAGCAACTTAATCGTTCGTTTGACCCATTTTGAACCCCCAAAACCCACATGTAGACAACTTGGCGGGATTCCCAAACTGTCGCAGTTGGGGCTGGGGCCTGGCTTTGATACAAGTTTTTGCGAGTTGCACGATGTGGGCTTCAGACGTTCCAGTGGTCAAGTTCATTTGTTGGTGTTTTGCACGCAGGACTCAGGACATATACTAGTGAGCCTCAGCTACATAAGCTGATATAGGATGATACAGGTGTGCTGTAGGCGCTATGGCCACAATGGATGGGGAGGTGGTTGAGGTGGATACCGCCTTGAGTGAACAAAGGCAAAGGAAGAACGACTGTTAAAGAGTAGGCCAAGGGAGCTTCTGTCCCAGGTGCCCCAATGCGTCCTGGCTACTATGAAGCTATTGGCTATTTTCTACTATTACCTTCCCTCAACAATGCAGGCTGCCCGACCCATTTGCTGTTTCTAATTTAGGCCTAGCAGATGAGTTGGCGGCTAGAGCTCCGTGAGGCAGCTAGTAGCTTTTTGTTGCCAGGAGCCCCTAGTAGCGTCCTTGTTCCTAGTAAGGCCAGGAGCCCCTAGTAGCGTCCTTGTTACTACTAGTAAGGCACTTGTTACTAGAAG